CCATTCTACAAAGGGTTCAGAGCTTTATGCAAAGGTCTAGATTCTAAGTCTCATGTGGGTTGGATCCAGAACTTCCTGTCCTCACTACTTTTGAGACTTAAGTTCATATTTACTGTGGTGGTTTTTTACTCTGTCAGCTGCACTCAGCTGGAACTTCATCTTCTAGAATCCCCTTCCCTGCATGGCTAACATTGCCCTCAAGAAACATTTTGTGCAAGACTTAGGAGGTTGGAGTGAAGTGGCAGCCATGGTTATTCTCTGAAGTCCATGCTCAGGGACCTTATCATGTCCTGCTGGGTCCCTGCGTTGGCATGCGGTGGCTGCTGGCCCTTCCTCCAGCTGAGTCTACATTAATTACAAAAGTTCATGAGTGTGGCTGAGGATGGCTCCTGTGTACCATCTTCAAAGCTTAGAACCCTATCCAAATATATTAATCAGATCATTTTTCCTGATGGAAGTTGTTTGGTTTTGGACAATGTGCATAGGGTGGACGGAGCTGGAAAGGGAGAGTGCTTGAGGAAGGTCTGAGTTCATCTCACTACCCAAGAAGGTAGGAAAGTGGGGTAGAAACTGTGTGTTAAACTTTCTCTGGGACTCGTGCTTTGTAGATGTGAGTCTTTGATCATGCTGTTTCATCTACCTTGAAAACAGTTTCCCCAGCCCCATTTTGTCCCTAGTAATACGTTTCTATTTCTATTAAATATGTAGAATATCATTTCCTTTTGAGGCTTTTTCTTGTCCTTCCTTTGTTAGAATATTCTCTTTCACCTCCAACAGAACCAGATATAATTATTGCCTCCTTAGAGTTCCCTTTCTTTTTGTTTGTACACCTCCTGCAACACTTGTCAAGATCCTTCTTTTATTGTAATCTCATTGAATACATTTCTGTTCTCTCACCTCCCTCTTTACACCTTAAGGGAGAGGTAGAGAGAGAAAGAAATAAAATAGAGGAAATAAGGAAATAAGAAAAATAGAGTGGAAGCAAGAATGTCAAGTTGTGAGAAGGTAGTTGACATCTATACAATTATAACAGGTGTAAGTATAGAGAAAAGCATGCTCTACCAATCAGATTTTATAGACTGGCAAAAGAAGATGATCAAGAATTTTGAACATGATAGTTTCAGGATTAATGGGTGTCTGTGATGTTTGTGCTAACAGTTAGTCTTTACCATGCACCCAGGTGACCTTTGCTCTCAGGCAATATTTGATAAAAATCTTAAGAGATAACTCAGACTGTTTTTATGTATTTGAATTTTGTAACTGAGGGAATTGAGTCTCAGGCAGGTGAAGTAATATGCCACATCACTTCATTAGTACATGGCAGAAGTAGCCCTAAAAATATTGACTCCTATTTTAGTAATATGTCTATTAAATATGATATAGTTGCATAAAGTTGAATCATGTAAAATGTAATCATAAACCCTAGAAAAAGTGAAATTATTTGCAAAGTGAAATTATAATGTAGAGCAGAGAGAATAACTGCACCTAATTGGGAAGCAGCATCAAACAGCCATCTTTAGCATATGAAGAAAGAAATCATGCTGGCCAATGACTATATTTTCTCTACCTTTGGATCTTGGCACCATCATTCACTATATACCAGCTTGCATGAATCAGGGCTGTCACTGTGGACACTAGGGTGAAGAGTTCCGTGACACCGAGGAAATAAAACATATCTTCAGCACTCACAAGAATGGCCTTTCCATATAGCAATGAGGTATAATGTAAAATATATTTTATCAGAGACCTGGGTTTGAATCCCAGCATTGTTGTTATCACCAAGTCCTTTCACCTAGCTAGGCCTCCGTTTTTTCACCTGCTAAATGAAAATGATAATCTGTACCATGCTGGGAACAAGAAATAATATTTTACATGTAAAATACCCATCACATAATAGGAGTTTTATGAATCCTCCATCTCTATCCCCACTTGCCTGAGAGAAGGAAAAAAAAAAGAATAAAACAAATAAGCTCATATGTGTTTGTAGGGTGAGTTCATCTTTTTTACTTTGATGTAATATACTATGTGAATGTCTAAGGTGGCTGAGTAGCTAATAAATGCCTATACTACATGTCTCAAAGTTGTCAACTAGCAGTATGTAGAAGTGTAAATACTTTACCTTTCATATTGGCTGAGACCTTGTTGCTCATAATTCCCTTTAAGTAAGTTCTTTCTTGGCACACAAAAGAACAATTCCTTCCAAATGTTTCGCTCTGAGCAGCTTATTGAAGCGATTGTAGATACGTTGTTCTACACTGATCTATCAGCATGATAACTTAATTGTAGTTCTACATCACTAGCTAAGGTAGAATAAAGGTTTGCAAGACTATTCCGGGGCTAACCCCAATGCTGGCTTAGGATCTGCAGACAGCTGTATTTAAAATGTGTATTTTGGGTTACAAAAGCTGCAGCATTCTGTCTAAATGAAGGGGCCCTTGCTTCTGTGTGATGTGTGCTACAGAGTAATAGAAACTTAATAGCAGCCAAGTGACAGAAAGACCCTAATCACAAAAAAGCAGAAGGGGGAAAAAAAACGGATAAAGTTTGCCTCAAGAGATTTCAGCAGAAAACTCTCTAAGAGAAGGTAATAAGGTTGGAAGTTTTTCAGAAAGTGGTAGTGGGCAGCGTTGCTGGTGATTAAAGTAAGAAACTGGGAATAAGATGGTCTTAACTCAACTTCTGCAAGCAGGGCTATTTGGCTGGTGACTCACAAAATAGAACTCTGCATTGCTGATGGTCAAATTCCCTCAGCTGTAAACACACACCATAGCATGGCAGTTAGCAGTATGTCTCCTTATGTGGCTCTGTCTTTAAAGGGCAGCATGGAATAGTTGAAGGAGTGTGGGCTTGACATCAGGCTCTGTGTCACTACTAACTGTGCAACTTTAGGCAAAGGAGTTTCCAATTACCTTGTTGAATCTCTCTAAATAGGTCTCCTAATGCCTATCAGACAGTGATGTAATGAAAAACAAATGGGAGTGTATATATTCAGCCAATAAAATAAGGTTCTATTCTCCATGAACCATGTTAAAAAAAAAAAAAAAAGAGAGAGAGAGAGAGACTATTACAATAATTTGACCTGTTGCCCTAAGAATTTCCCTCCTGCCTTTCTTCCTCCAAGCCCACTCACTAGCCCCTGGATAACTGCAAGATACACAAAAAAGATGGGAGTGGGAAACCCTGACCTGTTCAGGCCCCAGTGTCCAGCTGGGGGATGCAGCGGGTAACTTAAACTCTCTGAGCCTCAGTTTCCTCATCTTTAAGTACAGCAGAGTTTCCCACATTTGCTGGTTGTTCTGTATAGCAAAAGAGATACAGCATGTGAAAGCATTTGAAGACTTGTAAAGCCCATGCATATATTAGTTATGCATATTTATGGTTAAAATTGCCTAAGAGAAAACAGGGACTCAGGGATCCTAAGTGACTCTCCCAAGGTCACGCAGGAGTGCAAAGACAGAGCAAAGATTGAGATAGAAACTTTGGACTGAAGGACTGAAGAAAATAAAATTTCATAATCCATAAGTGACCATGGGTGATGCTATAGGACTAACGATTACATGGCATGATTTTGAAAGCCCATATATAACCCATATGCCATAATGTGCATATTACAGATATAGATGTATGGTACACATGTGTATACTACATATATATCCTATACATATATCCTAATATGTATTAAAATGTGTGTGGAGTTCCAGATATTTCTTAGAAGATGAATTTCGATTTTAAAAATTGTAAGTAGGCTCTGCTTCTAGTGTAGCAACTAAAATTCAGCTTTGGGACAGAAACTTCCTTTCCTGGGGGAGGAGCTATGGATGCAATCAAGTTTTCCAAAAGCTGCTGCTTCAGACTGAGATTTCTCTTCAGTAAAGCCAATAGGATACAAAAGCCATGGGATACCCGGGAAGGTTTAAAATTGTTTTTTTCCTAAAATTATCTTCAGACTGCAATATTCCTGACAACCACAGGACAATCTTTATAAAACCATCGTTTCCATTAGATTGAGAGATACACCAGGGCTAGGTCAACAACGGCATGAAGACATGATTCACCCCAGGCTGGGAGGCAGATTGGAACAGGTCTAGGCTGGTTGTCTGTCTCACTCACTTGGCATGAGTTAGGAGTCATGTAGATTTGGAGGTGGGGGTGTTGTGGCAATAGCATTGTCTCTATCTTGGGGCTAGACCATGTCCTTGTGCCTGGTGTCAGGTTTATCCTGAACATTCCTACCTCCCATCTTTTTTTTTTTTTTTTTTGCATTTGTTACAAACCTGAAACATTATGATTCTGAAATAAATGTTCTAAACGTAACTCAAAACCTTCAATATTCATTCTCATCGGAGGTCTTGCCCATTAAAAGAAAATGTCCTTTATAAAAAGAAGATGAGGGGGATTAGGGGAGAAGACTTTCACCTGAATGGGAACACGCCCTTCAGCTTTTCCCTCCTCTCATGAGTTTTCACGTGCATGGGAGGGCAGTTCAGGCCAGGGAAGAGTGAGTGAGGGTGCGGCCCTGCGGAGGCTTGAGTGGTGCTAATTGAGGGGAGAGTAGTCAGTATGGCCTGCAGTCCAGTAAGGTGGAGGAAGGACAGTCATGGGAGAGAGTGGAAGAGGATAATGGTCACCTTGGGGTGTGGAGGTCATGGGGACCTGTGGGGGACATATAAACCAGGTGGATTAACTAAATATTACTCAATATGGCATAGAATTAAGGGATAGAAGTGAAGTGTCCTTTCGTGGACACTTGAAATAGGCCTTCTGCTTTGGCTGGCATAAGAGATAAGACCAGTTAGCATCTAGAATATGGGAATGAGCACAGTCATTTGACTTCCGGAGTCCTGGTGGGGGGACAGGCATTCGTGGTAGAACAGAACATCGTGGCCTCTCTTCGTAGCCAGTGCTTACACCAGCAGGGTACTGTCTCCTGGTGATGCTTTTTTAAGGGTTCCAGAGAGAACTATTTCTGAGTTACTTACACAGAGGGGTATTGCCATTCTTTTGTGAGGAAGGTTGGACAAGATTCCATACAGGAGCGAGCATTTGGCCCGGAATCTGGCAGTGGAGTAGGAGTTCCCCAGGTGGAGACGAGCATCAACAAGGTAAGCTCTGTGACTGAGAGGCACTGTTTGATTTGCTCGCTGTGTCCCCAGAACCCGGAGCAGGGCTTGGGACATGGTTAGTGCTCAGTACATTTTTTATGTATGAAAGCGTAAAGTGTGAGGGACAGAGAGAGATGATTTGTCGGCAGAGTGGTCAAAAGTAGCTCCTGGGTATCTTTGCTGGGGCAGAAGAATGACAACAAAGAATCATCAGGAGCTGAGGCTATAGAAATGGAGATGGGACAGACTGGAAAGGCTGTATTAGGGGATCTGTACGAGCGTCATCTTGTAGATGTCCTAGGGAAAAACCGTTGTCTGATAAGAAGGTTCTGGGTACAATGCCAAGTATTTTCAGATGCTGTCAAATTGCCCTGGAGCCATTCTTGATGTTTGCCTCTTCAGCTGTAGTGGATAGAATAATGGCTCCCCCTAATGACATCAATAGCCTAACCCCTAGAACCTGTGAATATGTACATGGTAAAAGGGGCTCCATAGATGTAATGAAGGTTACAGACCTTAAAATAAATATGAGCCTGGATTACCTAGGTGGACCCAGTTGAATCCCCAGAGAACTTTCTCTGACTTGAGACAGGATAGATGCGGCAGAAGGAGAGCTCCGGGATTTGAAGCATGGAAATAATTCACTGCACTATTGCTGGCTCTGAGACCTAGGGGGCCACATACAAGAACCAGAGGCCCCTAGGAGCCCATGGAGAGCACAGGAAGGGATGGGGGTGCCCTGTACGAGCACAGGCTGGTCCCTGGCTAACAAACTGCAGAACCCTGTCTCTCCTCCTCACCTTGTCTTTTCTCTATAACACTTACCCTCAGCTGACAGTTTGTTCATTTTCTTAATAGCAATTAGCACTTACCCCTTCCCTAGCATCTAAGCTGACAAGAGCAGGGACTGTTTAATTAGGATGCTATCTAAGTTCCTAGAACAGTGAGTGGTCTATAGCTGCTGCTCAAAAAATATTTACGTGAGTAAATGATTTCTATCATTATATCCTCCCAAGAACCCCGTGAGGCATGCATTATTATTCTTGTTTTATGGAAGACAGCAACAGGGCTCTGGGAAGTTGCAAGACTGTCCCCAGACCTCCCCAAAGTGCCCCAGCTTCTCAGCTCAGCACTAGAGACAAGGTAGGAGCCTGCACGCATTCTCTTAACAGCTAACCGAGGTGGCTGCATTGAAACCCAGGCCTGTCTCATGGCAGGTACAGGCAATCTCCACAACACCTCGCAGCCTGCCCTGCCCTGGCAGCGCACAGATGTGTCAGGTGCCATGTGGACCCACCTCTGCCAGCCTCTGTTCATCTCCCTGCAGAAACGTCCTCCTTCCTTCAGTTTCCCATTTCCTTCCATAGTAAATATTCCATTTATTTCATGCCAGAGTAAGCTTCAGCCTTGAATCACAACAAGGGATGTTATCTGACATCAATTGCCACTGCTTAAAGAGGTTTAGGCTTGACGGACTGTAAAGCTGTTTGCAGGGGCTGGAGCTGAGTGACAAAATGCCCGTCATGAGGTGTAAACCTGTCAACCACAATTACCCACGAGGGATTCCAGAGAAGCAGAAGAATTAAATCTTGTAAATCCAAAAGGCCCAACTGGAGTGACGTATTTATTGGGCATCACTTAATGAGGGCTCCCAAATGGACTTTGTTTCTCTCCTTGGGACTTTACTTTCTTCCTTTTTGCATAACACAGATATGCACATGCAAGGGGAAGGACAGGGAAGGATGCCAAGGTACTGTGAACTGGTCATATGGTCGGTTAGAGCTAGAGAGTCCAAAGCCCCCATCTGCTGGGACCACTGGGACCACCAGCCACAGCATCACATCCAACCCCTATTAACAAAGGGCCCTAAAATGCTTGTGGCTCAATCTTGAGAGAGCCCATCAGACTACTCAACAAAATACTGTATCTTTTCATAATATTGGGGTGTAGCTGATGTAACCTAAATAATGTTAGGTATTCACCAAATCCCATTTTCCTCTCCTGTCCATATAACTAACCTAAATTTCCCAGGCTCACTTTTCATTAGCTAGGAACATATGTCTATGTTCTACATAGAGGCAAATTGACAGCCATGTCCACCTCTATCACAGTTCTTCCTTCCTCTCATCCCATCCTGGCAGGCAGATGTAGGGAATCCAGCAGAATGATTTACAGTCTTGGGGTCGACAGAGCCTCGCCATGGAAGGAACCTGAGTCCCTGAATGACTTCATGGAGCAGAACTCCTGTATGGACCTCACTGCCCCAGTTTCTGGTAGAGAGTAAATATTAAATGTAGCTGTAGGCAAGGAAGGCTTTAAACTATTCTTTGAAGAATTAGTAGAGTTTCTGTAGATAGAAAATATGGAAAAAAGTGTCTGTATTGGAGAAAAAGTTTTAAGTCCTAGGAAACTTACATTTTTAAAGAATCTACAAAGTGGCCTGATTTCACACTTGGATGTGTAATAGATATCTCAGACACATCATATTCCACACTAAACTCTTGTTTCTTAAATCACCCATTCCCCTACCCCGCGAAAGACCTTCCCCTTCTCATCTCTTCCAGTAAATGGCAATTCCACTTTTCCAGTTTCATATATTGAAATTCTCTGAGCCAAGCTCAACCCTTTTCCTTTTATCTCACTCCACATATAATCTAGCAACAAATTTTATTAACTCCACCTTCAAATGATAGCCAGATCCTACCACTTCTTGTCACTTCCTCGGCTAGTAACACTCTAATTGAAGCCAAAATCTTCCCCTAGACAGCTTCTAAACACAATCAATTTCCTTGCTTTCATTCTTAAACCCCTTAACTCCACCACTATTTACTGTCCACACAGCCAAGAGACTATTTGAAAACATGAAGTCACCGCATGCCCTTTTCTGCTTTCTGACGAGTTTCCAATCTCATTAGTAATGGGACTGAAAGTCCTAACCATACGTTTTAAGGCCCTGTATGAACTGGCCTCTCCACAACTTCTCTGGCCTTGTTTCCCACCACTTGGACCCTCACCACCTCTTTTGCAACCACCCTGGCTTCCTTGCTGTTTCTCAAGCAGCAAAGTTCACTGCTATCTCAGGGCCTTCAGACTTGCAGTGCATTCTGCCTAGGAAATCTCTCCCCAAGTAGTGCACAACTCACTGTTGCTTCTCAGCCACCCTCTAAGCAGGGCAACCTCCTCACCCCCATCACCCTACTTGAAATAATATCCCTGCCACTGGCTATCTCCATGCCCTAGTGGACAACATTTTCCTGCATAGCCTGAGATAGCTCATCTATATTTATTATCAAGTTCCCCCTATGGGAGCACAAACTCCAACAGAGCAGAGACTTGGAGCAGGGGCAGGAATTCACTGCTGCATACATACTTATTTTTCCTGCCTGTTTTGCTTAGCTTTATACCATAGACGTTTTACCACATTGTTCATAAACACAAAACAACTTGTGCTGACGATCTTAGAAGCTTTCTTTTATCTGGTGACACTTAGTTGATGCGTTGAAGGACGAGAAGCACTTCAGCAAGGTGAGGAATCCTACCCCAGGCAGAGCCAACCACACGGTGTTAAAATGTAGTGTCTATAAGGTCAGGGTGCCTATGTGTTTTATTCACTGTCATGCCTTTAGCAGCTAGGACGGTGCCTGGCGCATAGTGGAAACTCAATCTATGGAATAAATGAAATTTCAATACACAAACGTATAGAGAGGCAAAATTGTTTGATTAATTCAGAGAAGAACCAAATGCTATGTGGTTTACACACTGAGATTTTACTGCATCGCATTGTCAAGAGACTTTTGGTGGCAAATGCCAGAAACCCAACTTGAACTAGCTTAGGGGAATAAGAAAATCATTTAGATGAATACCGGGGTTGTACTAAAAGAGCAGGGATTGGATTGACCAGCAGGCCAATGCCATCCAGCCAGACTACCAGGGACACACCTATAGTTAAACAAGTTAAGTCAAGGGAAGATGAGTACCTTGGGAAACTGTAGGGCATCTCAATAAAGGGGTGGTAGAAAGAATAGGGTTTGGGCTTTGGTTGGGTGATTCTGTGGAGTTTTAAAGAAGTGAAGGTGTACCATGGATTGAATGCTGTCAGGTGGCCAGGGCAATTCTGTGATTGAATATTTTAGTAAATCTCATAAGGATGGAGACTAGAGAAAGGGTAAACCATAATTGATAAAATAGAACAGTCACACATATCAGTCAGAGTGGTGGAACATTTGTTATTTGGTGGTCTGGAGAAAGTTTATGCTCCTGATGGAGCTGTCTTGTTTTTGTCTTGATCCATCATGGTCACGGCGTGGCCTTGTCTGAGGTTGCTATTCTGTGAAATTATGTTCAACAGGAGTGCACCAAGGTCTAGCTCTGTGGGCCAGGCAGGCTCCCAGAGGAAAGAGCTGTTTTTCTGAATTATGAGAAATGACAGGGATGCAGCTGGGCTCTAGGAAGAACTGACACCAAGGATGTAAGCACATCAACTGTTTTCCTCGGGCCAAGTCTCCTTCCCACCTCTCTCCATGGGGGAGATATTCTCTAGGAAAACAGCTCTCAATGTTCATTCAAACAATTAAATCAAATGGCAATGTCAAGGGACAAAATCAGAAATAATTTCCCCAAAAGTCTTCCATAAGAGTCTACTACAAAAATGCAATTTATCTAAGATGACTTTTTCTCAAAACTTACTGAGCCTGGGGACACTCTGCGACCTTTACTCTTTGTTCAGATGATCACAAAACAAGTTTTGCCTTATGTCTTGTCCCTGCTAACACATTGCAGGATACCTTGCCCTAGCAACTTCACATGTGCTCACTCTTAGAAATTCCTGCCTTTTCTTTGCAAGGGGTCATTTGCTGCATTGGACAGTAGCTTTCTCTGCAGCAAGCCCACGCTCCTCAATGAGATCACAGGCCATTTCATTTCATAATAGGGTTATTTTATTATTTCCCCAAGCATGCAAATCAAATCACTTCTGGGATCCAAATCTTTGCTCAGCAAGG